ACACACACACACACACACACACACACACACACACACACACAACCACACACGCACAGCACTTACAGCCTCGCTGCGCACAAGAACCTGCAGAGTTTGTTTTTTAAAATAAAGTATATTTTAACTTTTCATTGATGTTTAAATAGGGTTTCAAAGTCTGATTATGGTTAGTATAAGAGCGCAATATATATATATAAATATATATATATATATGCGCAATACATTGTTTTAGCCTAATATAGGTGTATTAGTTTAAAAAAAAAGAAAAAGTTTATTCTGAAAGCTGACTTTTGCTGTGGTGATGCGTCTTGATCATTTACATGTAGGAGAAACCCTGAAACGAGTTTAAAGGCTTTCAGATTGTTTTTTCATTTCCACTGAACAACCCACAAAGATTTAATTTGTAGTTGTACACAAATTGTTCCGTTTTAGCATTTCAGGTGTACACTGAAATAATTAGAAGTAACCAAACAGATAACTACTTGAAAGTATTGATTTTATCCCAATTTTTTCCTCCAGATTCTGACAGCAAGCACAAGAAAAAGAAGAGAAAAGGTGCTCGTGAGGAGAAAAAGAAGAAAGCAAAAGACAAGCAGAAACCTGACAGGAGGCGAGACAGATCCAAGAACAGTGACGACAATGACAGCGAGAAACAGGCGAGGACGGACAGGAGAGGCCGTGCACAAGGGAGTGAACGTGCACGACAGGATGAGCGTGCACGACAGGATGAGCGTGCACGACAGGATGAGCGTGCACGAGAAGATGAGCGGGTACGAGAAGATGAGCGGGTACGAGAGGATCCCCGGCACAGAGGACGGAATGAAGTTTCAGAGGAGGAGGAGCGGAGACGAAAAACAAACAGACAAGCAGACAGTGAGAGAGAGGAGAAACGAGGGAGAGACGGGGAGAGAGGGAGGGACAGAGAGAAAGAAAAGAAGAGAGACAGAGACCGGAACAAAGAGAACAGAGAAAGGAACAAAGAGAGAAAAGACAAGAGGAGATAAACTTCATCTGGTTTTGATGGACTTCTCACTGTTGTTCCTCTTTTCCTCCTGTCTCTGCTAATGTGGCTTTCTCCTTCCATTTATTTTTCTGTTCTCAAAATACAAAAAATAAAGTTGTTTTACATATTTTTGACTTGTTTTTCTTTGTTTTCCATTCTGAAGAGTACAGAACATAATGTTCTCAACAATGTATGAAATCTGATTAAACATCAAGCTCAACTTTTATTCATGAAAAGAGTTGTGGTGTTGACTGTTTCCTCTGCACAGATACATGAGGTGAAACCTAACGTAAAAATCAGACATTTGCAGTGAAACAACTCGATGACTGTCACTGTACATTAGCAAAGATATGACATCGTACATTTCCTTTCTCAAATATATAAAATATATCTCTTCAACATAAATTTTAACCATTGTGCTTCTTAACCTTCAAAACATTATATGAACGTAGTGTTGCCTGGACAAAGTCCAGAGATTTACTGTCTCAGTTCATGGGCTGGGCCCTCATCAGTCCACACTTTATCACTGCATCACACGGCGCCGCCATGTTGGATGGGGTCTCATCAAGGCAGCACTGGAGCAAGACACTGCCCTTATTTGGTGCATTAATCTAAATGTTGAAGGCAGATAACATGGGGTTACCTTTTTATAATAAAACTGAACAACAGTTTTGGTTATTGAACATTTATAACATTTTATTATTGTAGCTAATTTTATTTGTCAATCAACAAAATGATAACAGCAGGAACTGGTTCTCTTTATCGATGGGTTTTTTCTTCACATGGACCTCCTGGTGACAGACTAGAAGTTCTAATCAGAACAGAGTTTTGTTCATTCAAACTCTGAAGAGAGCGCTTCAAGACCAAAGACWGGCAGGACGGCTCAGATTATCAGGATTAAGGTGATGTTAAAATGTAAATAATGCTTTGGTAAACACATACTGTGACTGCAGCAATAAAGGTTGTGTCACTATTTTACTTTCTGTATGGTATCTTATGGGTTTGTCTTTTTTGTAAATTTCATAAATCTAAGTTAAATAAGGGACTATGTCTCTCAGCTGGCCTGGGAACGCCTTGGAGTTCCCCCGGAGGAGCTGGAAGAAGTGGCTGG